TATGTATATGTATATATATCTCTACAGGTTGAAACTCCAGAGAAGGAGACTCAACTGCAGCTTTGTTGGTTGCCTCACCTTCTGTTATTTTCTCTTTCTGATACAGGGTTCCCCATCCCAACATGGGGGGTCAGCCCTCCAGGACCCCGAGTGCTTTGCCCACCTCCTGCGCTTCTATGACGGCATCTGCAAGTGGGAAGAGGGCAGCCCCACGCCGGTCCTCCATGTCGGGTGGGCCACCTTCTTGGTCCAGTCCTTGAGCCGCTTCGATGGGACGGTGAGGTCTAAAGACGGGGGCTGTTGTTATTACATATATATAATATTTAAGTTTTATTTTTCTCAAATGTTGTTCATAACCTGGATTCTTGAGAGTTTGACGCAGTGATGTGTTATTGTTGTTATTACAGTATTATTCTTCTTATTATGTTTACTTTTGGAACCCTTTAGGTCCGGCAGAAGGTGACCCTCGTGAGCCGGGACGTGGAAGCGAACGAGGACGACGACCAAGGCAGCGAAGACCCTCGGGAAGGCCGCCGCCGGGGCCCCCGACGAGAGTCCAAGCCCGAAGAGCCTCCATTGCCCAAGAAGGTGACCGAGCGCCGGCGTCCGAGCTCCAGCCAGAGGGTGGACAGGCCGCCTCCGGAGAAGGAAGAAGGCCCCGGCGGGGGTCCGAGTCCCCCTCCGGAGGGTCCCATCCTCACCTTCCAGAGCGAGAAGATGAAGGGCATGAAGGAGTTGCTGGTGGCGGCCAAGATCAACTCCAGCGCCATCAAACTCCAGCTCACGGCGCAGTCCCAAGTGCAGCTGAAGAAGCAGAAGGCGTCCGCACCACGGGACTACACGTTGGCCTTCCTCAAAAGACCCCGCAAGTCCCTCTGAGGCCAGTTGGGGGCAGCAGCGCTGTCTTCAACGGCAGGGACATCTCTGGCATTTTCAGGGACCATAGAAACTCACTCATCTGTCTGGGAAGGGGACAAATCCTTTCCGTTGGAGGTCTTCTCCTCCCCCCAACTACTGAAAACTACAGAGTCTTGGTCACATTTTCAGAGATTTCATAGCACAGCCTCTGATGTTGAATCTCACTA